GATCTTGCTATGTAGCCCTTCCTGGTCTTAAAACTTGTGGTGATCCTCCTGCCTCTGCTTCCCAAGTGTTGAGATTATTGGTATTGGTCACCATACCCAGTGCTACTGATTTTAACAGCAAGAATTTGGGCAAGTATGAGCCAATAAGCAGGCTGGCCAACCATCTTTGTTTGCTCAAGACTACAGGGCAAACTGGATGAGTTGGTCACCTGGCCTACGGCTAAAAGTGAACCACTGAGCAGGGCAGGAGTTACAGGGCCATCCATAAATCCTAAATGCGAAAATGTGCAGGTGGTCAATACACACTGCCCTGGGAGAGTTAAGATTTTATCTCCTAAATCTCAGTTTGGACTGGCCTTGAATTCTGAATTCATGTCCTCGGAATCCACAATGGGAAATGTCCATCTGATCACCTGGAAACAAGTAGGGGCTGGCCATCTCACTAGGGCAAGAAATGAGGCCTCTGCCTTATACCAGTTGCTATGGGAGACCCAAAAAAGTACCCAGCTCAGCCTGACAGGCCCTTCCCTCCCACTCTAGTTCTTGGCCATCTGCTTAACTGAACAGAGGCAGCCGATCCCCAGTGTCCTGGCCTATCCTTTAAACCAGTGCCCAAATGTCTGTGCATCCTGGGATGGGGATTCAGTCACTTTTCCTTGGTACAGGGAAAACCCATCACAGTTGTCTGATGCCTAGAGGGAGCATCAGCTAGCTGCTTTCCCACCTGAGTCTTCAGAACATCCCTGCCAAACTCCCAGGTGCTGAAGGCTGAACATGTTACTGCAGGAAGGAGGTGGTAGGGGAGCTGTGCTGGGGCATGTTGAGAATGGCCAAAGGGTGAACCAGAACCAGGCAAGCACTGCACTCAGCCCCCAGCCCCACAGCTTCAGCTTCTGGTAGGAGCTGTCAAGCAGTGTCCAGAGCTGGCTTTGAGCTCTCTGACAGACAACCATGGAGAATCCCATATCCTGGATCCACTACACCTTACACTTTACTGCCTTTCCTTGAACTATCTTGCTTGCTCACAGAAGAGCAGATGAAGTGGTCCTGTTAAATTAGATCAGGTTTCTTTCAAAACCCTCCAGTGCAGCCCACAGACTGCTCAGTGGGTAAAGATACTTATCACCAAGCCTAACAACTTGAGTTTTATCCTCAGGGTCACATGGTAGAAGGAGAGGACCAACTCCCACACGTTGTCTCTGACCTCCACATGTGTGTTGTAGCATGCAGGCATACACATACACATACACATACACACACACACACATACACACACACACACACACACACACACAAATATCAAACAACTACTCACTCAATCAAAGTGATTTGAAAAACAAACCTTCCAATGGCTCAATGGACTCAGACTTTTAAAAAGCCCAAGTTCTGGTGTTGGGGATAGCCCAGGCACCTGAGTCTGACCTCTGCCAGATGAGGAGGCACATGCTTGTAATTCCAGAGCTGGGGAGACAGAGACAGGTGGAACCCTAGGCTAATCAGTGTATTTCAGGCCAGTGAGAGATGCCATCTCAAAGAACAAGATGGACAACCCCTGAGGAAAGGCACCAGAGGGTGACTTCTGGTACATACACACAGAGCTCAAGTCCTCCACTGGCCCTCCCCACCATAACACCACCTCCTTCTACCCTGCCTTTGTGCACGCCTGGCCTCTGGAGACACATGGCCCTAGCTGTCCCTCAGTAGAACCCCCGACCCTAGCTGGCTTCAGCTTTGCATTGCTGTTCCTTTTGCTTGAAATTCTCTTCTCCCTGGTGGTCTGGTCCTCTTTTATTCAGGTAAGGAGTTTTCCTTCAAAGGCCCCTTTTTTGAGGCCTCCCTGAAATTCCTTCTCTCCCCCATAGTTCACTTCCCACTTCCCTACTCCCCTCTTACCTAGCCTGCCACTTGCTTCGCCTATGAACACCTGACTCCCTTTGGACCAAAGCTCCATGAGGGAGGGATGCTTGATTTGTTCACTGTAGCATCCTTAAGGGATGAGCAGAATCTGACACAACAGGGGCTAGGAAACTATTGAGCAAAAGAAAGATGTGTATAACTTGCCACAGAAAGACAAAGGGAAATGGAGGAAAACATTGGTATCACTGAAGGCATCATTAGGCCTGGAGGTGTGAGGGAGCAGACCCTGGCCAGGAGGGGTCAGGTGTGCAGGAAGGGGTCAGCTTTCTAGTTTCCATTTTCTGTGGAGGAACCAAGTGGTGGGCAAGAACAGATACCTGTGCAGAGTGGACACTGCCACTGTGAGAGCTGACCAAAGAAACCGCAGGAGTGACTTAGTGACCCTGGAGATCTTCTGATGCCCTATCTCCAGCAGCCTCTGGAGTTGAGGAGCAGGAAGGAGGCTGGTAAGTCATCCAGGGCTGAGGAGCAGTGGGGGAGGATGGTGAGCATACAGGGCTAAGGAGCAGGAGGGAGGCTGGTGGGCCATCCAGGACTGAGGAGCCGGGGACAGGGAGGATGGTGAGTCATCCTGGGCTGAGGAGTAGGGGACAGGGAGGATGGTGAGCCATCCTGAGCTGATGTGCAGTCAGGTAGTGCTGACTGGGAGACAGGAGAGTCTGAATTAGCATCACCAGGCAAGATTGTTGGATACTGATGCTAGGGAAGAGGTGAAAGACAGGGCAGAGCTGAGAGATGGAGAAGTGCAGGGGTTCTAGAGGAGTCGACAACTAGAGACCAGGAGGAGTGGACACAAGAACCCCACCATGAGGGGAACAGGCTGTGCCACAGTGAGGGGCTCATGTTTCAGGACCACCTGTATAGGGCTTCAAGAAGACTCAAGCCACAGGGCTAAGAAATCCCAGGTCCTTAAGAAATGAGGTCAGGAGATGGCACATTGGAGAAGCAGACAGCAGCTTGTAAGGGAATGGAGGAAAAACACCCGCAACAGCCGACCTTTCCATCTCAAGACTCTCATGTGCACAGGAGGGGACAGAGCCTTCTGCTAAGGGTGGCAGAGCCAAATTCCTGGCCCTGGGGCCAGCAAGATGGCTCAGCAGGTAGAAAATGCTTATAGTGCAAGCCTGATGACCCGCGATTGATCCCTGGATCCCACATAAAGGTGGCAGGAGAGAACCAACTCCATAAAGTTGTTCTCTGACCACCACATGTATGCTGTGGCACACCCCCCCCAAAGTAATAAATTTTAAAATTAAAAAAAGATCTGGAGGGCTGGAGAGATGGCTCAGGGGTTAAGAGCACTGGCTGCTCTTGTGGAGGACTGGGGCTCAATTCCCAGTGCCCACATTGTTGCTAACAACTGTAACTCGTTTCAGGGAATCCAATGCCCTATTTTGGCCTCTGCAGGCACTGAACGCACACAGTGCACTTACATACATATAGGCAAAACACATAAAATAAAAATGAATTTAAGAAACCAATCTGTCCCTGACTCTGGAGGGTATGTGTCCTCTTCTGAGGTGACACCACCTTCCCCCTGGGGTTCCTTGGTGGCATCTTCAGCCTCTTTCTGCTGTAAGGCAAATGGTTGAAATACCTTGTGTGCAGACTGCCCTGCTGAGTAAAGTTCCATGGGCCTTGGCAAAAACCGCTATGGGGCCCTGAGGACGTTTAGCATCAGTGAGATTTTTCTTGTTTGTTTTGAGATAGGGTCTCATTTTGTAGTTCAAGTTGGCCTGGAACACACAGCAATCTTCCTGCCTCAGTCTACCTAGTACTGGGATTACAGGCATGAGCTGCCATGCTGGGCCTGCATTTCAGGGGTCCTCCAGCAAGGCCTTATGCCTTGGCTGATTCCTCAGCGGTCAGCTGTCAAGTGGTGAAGTCAGAGGCACGGACACCAAGCTGGCACTATCAGCAGCATATGCACTGAAAAGGGGAAAGGGAGGCCCGGTGTCCTGCCTCCCGATACCCAATTCCCACTTATTTCTTGGCAGCTGACACAAACCCGGCTTTGGGTGTAGCACTGCGTGTAGTCTGGCTCTCCCCTTTCCCAGTTTCCCTTGCAGAAGTCACATGGGCCAGTTCTGGCCAATGAAGGACAAGCAGAAATCTTGAGGGTAGAGGTGTTGTGGGAAATGTTTGCTTTATCAAAAGAGCCTGGAGGTCACATTCTCCCCTTTCCCCACCTTCTATACAGAAGCGATGTTTGGAGCTGTAGCAATCATGGGAGATGCCAGTGTGCTAAAGTGGAAAGGCAAATGGGCCTGGGTCCCTCACAGCACTATGCTGAACATGTCAGAAAAATAACACCCGATTTGTTTTAATTACTTTAATTACAGCCAGACACATTTCTAAACCACATGGGAACTGATGGTCCTTCATAACTTACAGAGGGCGTCTGGGAAGGCACGGCCAGGCCTCTGCACTTCAGCAAATGATTTTCAAGGAATTTAAATGCGAAAGGCCCCCACAGTGAACCCCAGTTCCCTCCTTCAAGTGGAGCTGGGCCCCACTAGGAGGGGGGGGGGAGGAGCCACAGAGCATTCCTGTGTACCACATGGCACTCTGGCAGGTGTGGCTAAGCGAAGCGTCCAAGCTCTGCTGAGGACCAACCATCTCACTGATAAGGGCGAAAACTCACGTGGCCCAAAGTCACTGAACCTGGCTATGGCCCATTCTGAACCCGAGGGGGGATGGGAGGCACTTAGGCAAGTTTATTCACATCTCTAGGCCCTCCTATGTCAACTAGCATCTCTCCAAACGCTTGTTAAAGAGCCTGAAACAAACTAAAGGGTGGATGCGGTCAGCTCCTCCACTTCCTCCCCACCTCCCCAGGAGGGCAGAGTAGGGAGCGTTGAAGTCCGTCCCCGTCCTTCCCAGCAACACGGAGAACGCGCCCCGGGTGCTCGGGAAGCCGAACACTGGAGCCCCGCGGCGCCCACACCTGCTCGCGGCTCCTCTCCCCAGCCCCTGGGAGGAGCTTGGCATCCTCCCACGCGGCGCGGCCGGAACCGTCCCCGACAGCCCCTGGGCCCGTTGTGCTGCGCCCCGCGTCCCTTCCACCAGCTGCCCACACTCACGCTCCACGTCGTGCAGCTTGGCCCGCTCCTCCTCTAGCTTGCCCTTGAGAGTCTCGGCCTCACTCTTCAGGGACGCCAGCGTCTCGTTCTCGTGCAACCCGTCGGTGGCCATCTTCGCGGGGATGGAAGGGAAGCGTAAAGAGGGAGGCGGTGAGCGGGCGCGGGGCGAAGGGGAGGGCAGCGCAGGCAGCCCGGGTGACCCCAGCGCCGCGCCGGGCCCGCCCCCTCGGCGCCGACGCGCTGCGGTGACAGGCAGCACTGGCTCCGCCCGCCGCGCCGGCGCTACTGCGCCCTGCACCCTGAGAACCCGGCGGGGCCGTGCCCCCATCATCTGGGGAAACTGAAGCTCGGAGTCCAAGCTGGGACCCTGACCGTGGACCTAACTGCATTTCTCACTCCTGGACAGCCGAAAGAAGCCAGAGCGACACAGCCCTGCCCTCTCCATCCCCGGGGACGTGGTAGGGCAGGAGGCAGGGAGTCGCCTCACGACCAGCCACAAAGTTTCCTTTAAATATATAAAAACGATGGGGTTGGAGAGATGGCTCAGCGGTTAAGAGCACTGGCTGCTCTTGCAGAGGACCCGGGTTCGAGTTCCCAGCACCCACATGGCGGCTAACAATCATCCATAATTCCAAATCCAGGGGATCTGACACCCACCTTTGACCTCCATGAGCATTGCACGACACAGGTTCATACAGGCAATGCACACACACACAAATAATAAATTTAAAAATTAAATATTAAAAATATATAAAAACGAGGGTGTGGTAGCGCACGTCTTTAATCCCAGCACCAGGGAGGCAGAGGCAGGTGGATCTCTGTGAGATCAAGTCCAGCCTGGTCTACATAGCAAGTTCCAGGCCAGGTGGGGCTACCGGGAAACCCTGTTTCAAAAAAACAAAACAGTAATAAAAAGTTCTGGCTGCCTGGAAGCTCTGGGGTCCCCAAGGCATTTGGAGACCCACTTTGGCCTTGCTTTTCTTTTTTCACTTGGGAATCAGGTCCTTCGCCAGGGTCCTGGGGTGGGGCAGCAAAAGCTGGGGTCTGTGACACACCTGGCTGGGCCCCGGGGTGTCCTCCCCTGTGGGATGAAGCCTTGCTACCGTTTTCTTAAGGTCGCAAACGTGGAGACTGAGCTCTGACTCCGTGGCTGGACAAGGCATCTTAGTAACTCACTTGATGCCCATAGGAGTCGCTCTGAATAGGAGCTGCCCCCGACCCCACAAGCGAAACACGTCTGGGAAAGCTGGGCCTCACACTTCTAGAAACAGAAAGACAGGATTTGGAGCCAGGCAGTCTGGCTCCACCAGCGCTCTCAGGACTCAGGCAGAAGACCCCTCCCAAGTCTCCCATGCCTCGGTGACGTTTCCTAGGATAGAAAGGCAGATCAGGGTTGCAAATTCTCTCTCGGGTGCTGATCCACCCTCCCCTGACAGCCCCACCCCCACCCCCCAGCTGCACTGGTCCTAGACTCTCACAACCTGAGGAGACAAGGAATTTATATTACTGTACACACAGCTGTCTTTTAGGTTAAGATTCCCAGAGCCTGTTTCCTTATCTGGAAAACACATTTCCTAGTGTCTCTTTCCTGGGACTGTGATGAGAATTAGTGTGGGGGTAGCAGCTGACTCTGGAGCCAACTCCTTTCCCTTTTCCCTTTGGTTCAGGTCTGGCTAGCATGTGGAGGATGCTCAGGCAATACTAGCTATTAAACGGATGCATAAAACAGGCTATATAACATATGTATTTAAAAATAAAACAAGCCGGTGTGGTGGTGCATGCCTTTAATTCTAGCACTCAGGAGGTAGAGGCAAGCAGATGGAGGCCAGCCTGGTCTACATAGTGAGTTCCAGGTCAGTTGGGGCTACAGGGAAATGCTGTCTCAAAACAAAACAAAAACAACACCCAAGTCCACAAACACAAAACAAACCAAAAAACCCAAACCTTCAAACAAAATAATAGAACGAGTAAGATGGGGTGAGGTGTCATGAATCTGTAATCCTAGCACTTGAGAGGTGAAGGCAGGATAAATTCAAGGTCATCCTTGGCTACATAATGAGTTCCAGGCCAGCCTGGGTTACAGGAGACTCTAACACACACACACACACACACACACACACACACACACACACCAACCACAAAACAGGACTGGAGAGATAGTTCAATAGTTAAGAGCACTTGTTGCTCTTGGAAAAGACCTGGGTTCAGTTCCTGTTGGGGACTCCTGTTGTGTAAAGTAGAAGTCCCTTCATGTCCGGATAGCCCATGGGCTTGGCTTCAAATGCAGGGACTCCTTTTTCAACAGAGTGCTTTTCTGGCATCTTCCTGACTCATCTTTTGAAGTGCCCACCACAGATGCCCTACCATAAACATAGCCTCTGGCTTTGTTACTACCAGCCTTTCCTGTGTGATTTTCAGGGAGATTGGCAGCATGGCAGGAGCCCACTTCCATATGTAAATAAGGGCATCCCACAAAGTACTTATCAGCTAAGGCTTTTACCACTGCCCCCACAGTATAAGTTTCCTGGTTTCCCCTCAATAATTGAAGCTGATCACCAAGACTTGGAGCCGAGCAGAGTCACTGAATAAAGGCTGTACCACTGAGACTGAGCTGAGTCCTGTGTCTTACTACCTACGATCCAGCCTTCCCGGAGAGAGCTGTCTCTTCGTAAGCCGACTCACAGACACCTAGCTTTAGCGCCCCGCTCCTTCCTGCGTGATCCAGTGGCCGGTGGATTTTGCATCTTGAGGAAGTGCACGGGTGAAATTAGGGTGGAACCCGGCCGGGCAAGCCCCGGCAGCAGAGACCCACAGAGAAGTGGCAGAGAAGCAGGGACCCGCCAGAGAGCCAGCAACGCAGACACGCTGCGGGACCCGCCGCCGCCTCAGCACCCCAGCGGCGGACAGCGACGCAGTGCGCGACCAGACCCGTCACTCGAGGGTGCGCGAAGGGGACCGGTGCCATGCTAGTAACTGGTGCCCCGAGATCCCTGCACGCCCCATAAGTTCCCAGCACCCACATGGCAGTTCACAACCACCTGTAACCCCAGTTCCAGGGAAACTGATGCCCTCTTCTGGTCACTGCATCTAAGTGGTGCATTTACATTCAGAAAAGACATTCATACACATAAAAATAAATCTTTAAAAAATGTGGAAAACCCTGACAACAAATACAAAATAAATACACATAAAATGGTTTTAAACATCAACTTTAAAATTATAAATCTAATAAATCAGCAAAAATATTACATGTTTCAATTCAGAGAGCTGAGCTGAACTCAGGGCTTAAGCCTATCTAGACTTCAGGTGTCTTGGGCCATCCCTCTGTTCCTCTGCTCCTCCTCTGAAGTAAAGTAGTGCCTTCTTCACACCATGGGCTAATTCAGAGTGCTGTGGGGCCAGGAATCTGCTCACTGGGTTAGTGAGGCTACCTGACACCTGAGCAACTCACAGAAGGAGACCTCAGAATTACCAGGCTGAACTATGCTGGGTACTTTATGAAAATTTTTTCAAGGCAGAGTCTCACCATGTAGCCCAGACTCCCCTGGAACTCAGCTTTTTCCTCAGGCTTGGGCTAGCACATCCTACTGGGAATCACTGTTTTAATGTAATGAAAAAAATATAATCACCTTGAGGGGTTACAACAGAATTGAAAGGGCCTGGCTGGTCTGGAACTTGCAGTGATCCTCCTGTCTCACAGGCATCTACCAAGCGCCCCCTCCCACACTTTTAAAGATGCTTAAGTATGGGCCTGGAGAGGTGGCTCAGTGGTTAAAAGCACTGGCTACCCTTGCAGAGGATCCAGGTTCAATTTCCAGTACCCATATAGCAGCTAACAACCTTTGGTAACTCCAATTCAAGGAGATCCGACACCCTCTTCTGGCCTCCGTGGGGACTGCACAACATGGGTGCACCTACCTATATGCAGGCAATACACTCATACACATAAAAAATAAAAACAATAAGGGGCTGGAGAGATGACTCAGAGGTTAAGAACACTGGCTGTTGAACACTGGCTGTTCTTGCAGAAGACCCTGGTTGGAATCCCAGCACCCAATGTCCGTAACTCCAGTCCCAGGGGATCCGACAGCCTCTTCTGACCTCCGTGGAGATTGCACGACACAGGTGCACTTACCTACATGCAGGCAATACACGCATACACATAAAATAAAAAAAATATTTTAAAAAAACAATAAAAAATGCTTAAATATTGGCATACCCGGTAAGGATGCATTGCCACTTGTCACCAGATGGGGGCTCTAGCAAGCCGCAGCGTTGAACGCATCTAAGGGATTCTCTGAGCTAGGGGACTCATTTTTGGAGGCAATTTACAACCTAGATATAGCCACCTTTGGTGAGGACATGATTTGATGTTACTTTAACCAGAAAAAAACAAAGCCAGGCTTTCTGTTCAATTCCTACCCCACCCTGAAGGCTCAGACTAAGGAGCATTGGAATTTAGTTTGCTCTCTGTTTAAGACCCCCCCCAACTGTTTATCTGTTTAGCTTGGTGGCTTGATGTGATGGCAGATCTGGAGAAGATGGAAGCAAAAAGCATGCCCCCCCTGGAAATAATGGCTTGAGCAAGGAGCTTTCCTGACCTGAACCTAAAGATACCTTGTCCCATGAACTAACTTGACCCTCCCAGCCCGAGGTACAGTGCTGTGAGAATTCCCATCTCACAGGTGGAAAGCGGAGTCAGGAAGGAGTGACAGCCTGTGGCACCCCGCTGTCTACAATAGCAAGTAGCCTAGGACCCAGGCAGACACCAGATCCACAGCCTGGGAACACATCCTATAAACCTACTCTATGGCAGCTCATCTGTCACAGGACTTTCCTTAGGTATTGTTTGAAGGCAGGAAAGTTAAACAGCACTTACAATCTCTGCACATGTGGAGCAGTAGCTGAGCTGCTGAGATTTCTTGAAAACTGGCCTCAGGGCCCTTTTTTTGAAGCATTTATCACAGGAGCCAAACACATTAACCAGGAAGGTCTGATCCATCTTGCCCTGGATGAGGCTGAAGGACAGTAAAAGGAGCAGAGTGTGAAAAAAGCCAGGGATGCTGCTGGCCACAGTGGTCTGTACCTCTGCATGTCCACACAGCACACAGCTAAGCGCTCACCTGTACAATCAGAACACCAGGCAGCACAACTCATTTAATCAGCAAGAAGTGTCAGGCAATCAGTTTTCTGAACTAAATATGATTCACTGGTTGTCTGGGGAGCTTGCAGACACCCTTACAATCTTTGCCTCACAGGGAAAACATTGTTGTCATGCATAATGCAATTCATTTCTTAAAATGTATC